TCTGCGTTTCCAGTCTAGTCTGCGTGTCCATTCTGCAGTCTGCAGCCTCCGGCCTGCAGTCTCCATTCTGCAGTTTCCAGTTCCAGTCTCAGTCTGCAGTCTGCAGTCTCCAGCCTGCAGTTTGCAGCCTTCGGCCTGCAGCCTGCAGTCTCATTGAGTCTCATTGTTTCTTCGCCTCATTGTTATAAAAGGACCAGCAATTGCTTCACCAGCCTCACCCTGTCGAAAATATGTTTGATAAATTGGAGATGGTGCTCAATGACTTCTTGGGCGTGGCATTCATTGCCTTCATGGGAGTGGGCAGGAAGGTCTGGGATGCCGGGGGCTTCATGGATCTTCATGGTCGGTAGCAAGAACCAACAGAAGCAAGAACTAGATGCAAGAACTGTGAAGCACGTTTGACCCAGGCTGAGAAGGCAGCTGCGTCGAATTTAGCTGGCAACAGAACATCGAGCCACGCAAGTGCCAGGCAATGCGTGTAAACGACTCTTCCACTGTTGGGCTGGAGAACCTCGACGAATTGTAAAAACGCAACAAACTGTTCATTTACCCCGCAACCAAGAAGTAAAATCTCAAAAACCTAAGTTTACTGCGTTTGGATCTTAAGGGTTAGGCACACAAGATTTGCTTGGGGACTGGCGCAGCTGGTGCTGAGCAAGCGCCGCTTTAACCTTTTCAAACCTTTGCCGCAAGCGGCCATTCCCCACCTGCGATTTGAGCTCAGGCCGCCGAACCTGCCACCCAGCAAGGTTCCAGGCTGGACAATATTTGGGGCTCCGTGCCCGTCCTGGCACGGTGGTTTGCAGGAGGTTCTCAGACGCAGCGCTTACGCAGCACCGTTTCTGGGGCGCTTTTTGTCATCATCTCTTAACTGTGCTTTTGCAGCACCGTTTTTGGGGCACTTCCGCGGCACCTTGTCTTCGTGTAACAGCGCTTTTGCAGCACCGTTTCTGGGGCGCTTTTGCAGCACCTCGGCACCTTATAACAGCGCTTTTGCAGCACTGTTTCTGGGGCACTTTACAGCACCTCGTCTTCGTGTAACAGCGCTGTTGCAGCACCGTTTCTGGGGCGCTTTTGCAGCACCTCGTCATCTACTAACAGCGCTTTTGCAGAACTGTTTCTGGTGCACTTTTACAGCACCTTGTCATCTTATAACAGCGCTTTTGCAGCACCGTTTCTGGGGCACTTTATGCAGCACGCTGGTCATCTTAACAGCGCCTAGGCAGCACCTTTTCCGGGGCAGTACCTCGTAGTGCAAACTTCCTGGAAAACTTGCGGGGGCTCTTTTTGTGTTTAACACCATCTGTGATAGATAACACAAACGTGACTCTGACATGCGCGTGCTCATTTCGCTTTGCGTGCTTTGATTCGTTGCAGATGGCTTATGGCGTTGCAACTTCTGCTTGCTGAAGCTGTGTTCCGGAATTGGCATGGTATGGTGTGGGAAACGCGCCGAGTTAACCCTCAAGTCAAATTTTAAATCAAAAACAAACACCAGCCATCGGAAAAATGAACCAAGTTCAGCCTAAAAGTTGCCAAGAAATACACCAGAAGCAACAGCCAAAAAAAAGCACAAAAGCACAATACAAAGCACAGCCCAGTATATTTTGAGGAGGGGAGAGGGAGGTTGGGGAGGGGCGTGCGAGCATGAGACTGCGTGTCGAAGCGCTCTCGCTGTGGCGCCGTGCAAATGTCTCGGGAGCTCGGCGAACCCTCCCTCTGCGGAGATTATCTGCGTCGAAGTACTCTTTCTGTGGCGCGCGTGGGGCGACAACGAATCAATGTAACGCGCGAAGATTATTTAAAGAGGGGGGCCGGGGGGGGGGGGGGGGGGGGGGGGGAATGTAGAAAAGGCTGATCCTAAATGAAAATTTCAAATGTTGAGGGATTTCTTGGAGTATTTTTTCAACAGTTTAACAATCTGATTCGTTTTCATTACCCATGTTTCAAGCCATGTTTCATTTTGTGTTTCTCAGGGTGATGTTTTATTTCGTTTTGGAAGAGGTTAGCACTTTTAGTAGTTTCATCGATTGGGGTGTTGGCGGGTCTTCTGTTTTCCTATTCTTTGTTTATGTCACATTCAAAATCTGATGAGGTTTCAATGTAATCTCTTATCTCTTCCTGCGTTGTTTGCTGTTTGTATTCTTTTGTTGTTTCTTTAGTCTTTCATGGTTTTGGATTCTTAACATTGTTGATGTGTTTTTTTGGTTCTTTCGTGCTTTGCTTTCTGACTAACTGAGACCATACACCTACAATATTGACATTCAATTTTTCGTAGGTTGTATTCTTTACTGTACTCTTTCTGGTATTGCTGGTTGTTTTCTTTGTTGTTTTCATAATATTCCTTCGCTTTTTGGCTAGGTGCTTCTTTTTTTATTTCTCTGTATCTCTGTTTGCTTTCGAGACATAAATTACATTGTTTCCTCTCTTCTTTGAACCTTTCTAGAGGTTGAAAGACGTTACATTTTGAACACTGTTTTTGTCAGTCATGTTTCCGTAAAATTTAAGGGGTCCATTGCATTCATTGCATTCATTTCATACATTACATTCATTACATTCCTTACATACATTACATACATACATACATACATACATACATACATACATACATACATACATACATTCATTCATACATACATTACATGCATGCATGCATGCATGCATGCATACATACATGCATTCATGCATACATTACATTACATTACATTACATACATACATACGTACATACTTTACATACATACACACATACACATGCATACATACATACATACATACATACATACATACATACATACAGACAGACAGACAGACAGACAGACAGACACACATATACATATATATATATGCATACATACATACCAGCGAGGGAGATTGGGCATAGAGAGGCTTGGGGGGATGGGGAGGATGGGGAGCAGAGGGAGGGAGAGAGGACAGAACACACAAGGGAGACAAGGGAGAGACGCAGAAGGAGAAAAGGGAGAGGACAATGTCGGCGGACTGAGCCGGAGGCTGTAAAGTTTAACATGTTAAGCCACTAAGATTCTAAGGTGTGAAGCCAGTAAGGTTTCAAGATTGTAAGCCATTGCTGCTTTAAAGACTTGAAGCCAAAAGATGCTAACACATTAAGCCACTAATATGTTTAGACTGTGAGCCACACAGAATTTCAGAGTGTAGCGCATGCAGGTTTTCAGGTTTTCGGCCATTGAAATTTTAAGGTTTTAAGCCATTCTGATGTTATCACGCTAAGTTCAGCATTCCAGTTTTTTTACCCAAGAAGATGTTAAGCCGCATGATTTAAGCTTTAAGGTTTTAACACGTTGGGCCACGAAGACTTCAATATTTTACCCCATTAAGAGTTTAAGGTGTGAAGCCGCTAGGGTGTTAATAGTTCAAGCCATTAAGGTGTTCAGACTTTAAGCTAACACGTTGAATAAAGATCTCGGTTTTTAAGCCATTAAGGGCTTAATCAAACTCTGAAAATCTGAATGGCTTACACTTCGAAAATATGAGTGGCTTAACGTGTTAGTATCCTCATGGCTCACGGTCTGAAAATATTAATGGCCTACAACATTGAAACCAACAGCTTCAAACATCAGAAGGTTTGAAATCTCAAAACCTTACTGGCTTAAGTGATAAAATCTGAATGGCTCAAAGTCTTAACACCTCAGTGGCTTGGAAAATTCGAAAGGAAAATACCCAAGGAACAACTTTCAATGGGACAATTCCAGTGGGACATATTTTAGAAAGCAGGCCTGTAACGTCGGCGGCCTGAGCCGGAGGCGTACAGTAAAGCATCACACGTGGCATCTTCATGTAGCGCCGAATGGCCGATCGAACTCCGACTCATCATGCATTGTGTCTGCGCATGTGGGTGGGTGCGTGAGTGCGCGCTTGCTTGTGTGACACTGCATGTGTGTGTGTGTGTGCGTGGGTGTGTGTCTGCGTGTCTGTGTGTCTGTGTGTCTGTGTGTCTGTGTGTCTGTGTGTCTGTGTGTCTGTGTGTCTGTGTGTATGTGTGTTCGGCGGCGTCAGGGCGCACGCGCCGGTGCGTGCGCGTCTGTTCGTGCGCGCGTGCCTGCGTTTGTGCGTGTGTGTGTGGTTTGGTGTTTTGTTGTGTTGTGTTGCGCCGCGTTGCGTCCGCTCGTGTGTGTGTGTGTGTGTGTGTGTGTGTGAGTGAGTGAGTGAGTGAGTGAGTGAGTGAGTGAGTGAGTGAGTGAGTGAGTGAGTGAGTGAGTGAGTGAGTGAGTGAGTGAGTGAGTGAGTGAGTGAGTGAGTGAGTGAGTGAGTGAGTGAGTGAGTGAGTGAGTGAGTGAGTGAGTGAGTGAGTGAGTGAGTGAGTGAGTGAGTGAGTGAGTGAGTGAGTGAGTGAGTGAGTGAGTGAGTGAGTGAGTGAGTGAGTGAGTGAGTGAGTGAGTGAGTGAGTGAGTGAGTGAGTGAGTGAGTGAGTGAGTGCGTGCGTGCGTGCGTGCGTGCCGTGCGTGCGTGGGTGGGTGGGTGAGTGAGTGATTGTTTGTGTGTGTGTGTTTGTGTTTGTGTGTGCGTGCTTTTGTTCGTTGGCGCATGAGCACACGTGTGGGGCGGGGGGGTGGGGCCGGGGCGGGTGGGGCGGTGGGTGGGTGGGTGGGTGGGTGGGTGGGTGGGGTGGGGTGGGGTGGGGTGGGGTGGTGTGGGGTGGGGTGGGGTGGGGTGGGGTGGGGTGGGGTGGGGTGTGGTGGGTGGGTGGGTGGGTGGGTGGGTGGGTGGGGTGGGTTGGGTGGGTGGGTGGGTGGGTGGGTGTCTTGGGTGTGTGGTGCTTTGTGTTGCGTTGTGTTGCGTTGCGTTGGGGTGCGCGCGCGTGTCCGTGTGGCGCCTGTGCGCGCACGCCTGCTTTCATTTGTTTGCGTACGCACGAACATCCGTGGTTGTGCGCGTGCGTTTGTGGCTGAATACGCCTGGTTGGTTTGCAGGAAAACCGCCATTTGTGACACATACCCAAATTCCTTCTGCCAGAAACTCCGCCTCGTACTCCGACACCGTCAGCACCTGTGGAGCGCGACGCCAGTGCCTCATGTCCACCTGCCCCACCCGGCGCGCCGCAGCCGTGAACTTCCCTGCCTGGGGCTTGCCGGGGTCAAGCTCTCGCTAACAGGGCTTCAACCGCTTCGAGAAACTACATGTGAAGCCACTAAAGGGCACTGAAAAAGGGGCTTCTATTTGGAAAACAGCTCACTGAAAAGGACTAACGCGTCATTGACCAACTCTGCTTGCGCAACTGGAATCTGAGCAGGCCTAACATGTTTAAACACCAAACCTGGCCTGGTCCCCCAGTCGATGCGGCAACGTCTCCAGGACATTCAAGAGATCGCCGGCTTCCTCGCAACACACCCTTCTCAAACCGCAAGACCCAAAACCCCGTTTGATACGTGTGTAAATTCATGTTTATATATATATATACACATGAATAAAGACAAAAAATCAGATTCAAACCTGGGTGTTGCGCCTGCCCATGACCTCTACAGGAAGGGCAAGGTTTGACAGAAAGCGGCAATTGCAGAGGGGAAGCATTCTTCGCAAGGGTGCCAAGAACAAAGCGAAAACTATTGGTCTCGCCCAGGTGGAACGATAGCGATTGGCGTGCTCCCCTCCTGGTTTTCATCAAGGCAAGTTTGAGCACAAAAAATCAACAATCAGAAAATGAAGGAAGGGCATTCTACAGCAAGAGGAGTATTCATCTGAGAGTAGCTTCAGCAAGAACTACTATCATCACCAGCAGCGGCGCTGAAGATCGCAAGTTTCTCTAGCGATGACCAGCGACCAAATTCGCAAATGCCGGCGGCGCGACGATATAACCGACCAATCGACATTCTCCTTCATCGTCTACAAGACCATTCCAATTGCGACATCAGCTGCGTCGCCTACCGCAATATCTTTTGTAAAGTGAGTGTCGGTAGATTCACCAGGACACATGAGTCCTCGCTTTTTCAAGCCCATGCATCTTCACATCTCATAGATGCAAAATCGTTTGACACAGCTAGAGGCTAACTTTCTTCGTTCGCGAATTAGAAATTACAGTTGCGTTCTGTTTGTACAAACCATGTGGATACCAGACAAATCCAACATGTCCGAGTCAGAAAAGAGACTGACCACTTTGACATGATCGAAATCGCTATACATTTTTCTCAACGGCTAGGGCTGCAGCGTAGAGCCTTTGGAACAGAATTCAATTCCAAAGGTCAAAGGAAATGTGCGCCTGTTTTGTTCTGTGTTTGGGAGACCATCGACCTTTTGGCAATCATTCATTTGTGGCTTAAGGGCTGTGTTTCTAGTAGAGAGAATCCATTTCAGGGCCACAGCGACTGGATTCAGGAAGGGGGAATTTATGTATGTACATGCTACACTGCAACAAGAGTCCTGCCCAAGCGCTGCGGGAAGCAAAATAACGCGAACTGGCAGAAAGCTATTTTGCAAGTGTCCAGCCACAGGCCCACCGTGTGCTTCATCGAGGCCCGACCGGCGTCGGACTTGCCGATCGCCTCGCTCTCCTGCATGAGCAGAATTGCTCCCCGCAGCAGACTCCAATTGAACACATTCAAGACCTGCTTGTGGGCGCTCTACCTTTCGTGACGGAATGCGTTGGCCTGGCAAAAAAACGGTTCTCAGAAAGGGGCCAGCAGGCCTGGCAGTGCCCGCAAAAGGGTTTCTGGATCCTTGGTTCTTGTAAAGCCACCATGAGGAATTTTGGGGTGTGTCTTCCTGCACTGGAGCGATCAGCTTTCGGCCTTTCAACCTGAAAAGGGTACCCGCGCAACGACGCTCCCAGTGCCATGTTCCAAGGGGTGGCCCAACTTTCTCCTCCATCTTTTTGGACACTTCCAGCGCCATGGCCTTCACAGTCTCCACCGCATCCGTCAATACCTGAGACAGTGGGGTCGGGGAAGATCGAACAACCACTAAATGAGCGTTGGTTTTTATTCCCTACAAACTTGCTTAAGCTTCCGCGGGCCCTTCCGCATCCTTGCCGCGGGCCAGGAGTCCCTTTCGCGAACTTCCGCGGCACATGTGTTTCATTGTTTGCTTCCGCAAACCTTCCGCAGGGCATGGTTTACAAGATTTGCTTCCGAGAGCATTGGCGCAGAAAGGAAAGTCATTTTAAGTGAGGTAGTGTTCCGCCGCAGCTTGTGTAGGCTTGGGCTCCATTGGGCTACCAATGCTACGTGGCCACTTGCCTGCAAACGCAGGACCACCCTTCCACGGAGCTTCCGCGAAGCTTCCGCAAACCTTCCGCGAAATACGCCGGCTGTTTTGGCCTTCTTGGCTTGCTGTTGGCATCTGCTCTTCGAGTAAGCGTTGCGTTTCTTACTGGAATCGTTTCTCCGAGCTTTACCCTGCACGCACTGAAACATTTAGTTGTATATCAGCCACAAAGCTTCCGCAAACCTTCCACGAACAAATCCCTTCCGCGAGCCTTCCGCACACTTGCGCGCGTGTGGCGCGGCGAGCACACTTTCAATAATAAGGTCCCTCTCCCCACTAAATTAGCTTGCGGCTAAATAAAAACCGCCGCTCAATTGGCAAACCGCACAAGTTACAAATCGACTTAGCTCACCCAGCTGCAGTGTCCGCCGCCTCGTGCGTAGTGGCGCCCACTGCCTTGCACTTCTGGTCTGACCCGAACGGCGCCAGGACGCTTTTTGCCTCGGACGCCGACACCTGCGCGGCTGGCTGGTTGTGGTTTAAAGGGGCTCGTCCCGTCCCGAACACCACATGGACTGAAATCAACATGCGGGATACAACTTACTGACGGGCAAAATGCACGTTGCGCTGGGTGGTCGGTGGTTCATCCAGATGTGGGATTTCCGTTTCTAAAAAATCGGGTAGAATATATGATTTCCAGCACTTCCAACCAGATACAAAACGCATGCACAAAAAATGCAAAACTATGCGACTCAGCTGGCTGGCAACCTCAATATATTGAACGCCCTTCCATTTCATTGTATGCCATTATGCAAGAAATGTGCACAACGGGGATGGCTACAAGCGATACTCTGTAGGCCCACCAAATTTCAACACCCCGCAAACCTACTGGGAAAGGGTGCGCATGGCAAGTTCGAATAAACGGAGAACCCTATTCTCTTCGTAATATTTTCAACAAATTAAAAGGCGAATCGTATATAGATTCTCTTTAAGGCTAGACAGTGTGCTAGATTTCTTCCCTCATGAACCCCGGGTTCAACAATTTGGACCCCCCCCCCGCTTCTACCCTTGGCCTTTTCGCTCAAGACCCTTTTGAGTTCGTACTTGCCATAGAAAAGGACCTCGCTCACCTTGCTCATAGTGCGCACACTTGCAATTCACCTACCAGGGGCTTCCAGTACACTTGAACATCATCAGATACCAGGCGTGACAACCGTTGCAGCAAAGCGTGGGGGTCTGTACAGAGAGCTTCTCGACAGCGCAGGAGTCAGCTAACGTGTGTCTTTCTCCTCTTCAGCTTCTCCAATCACAGGAGGCGCCACTCAAGGTTTCCAAAGTTCATTTGACGGTTGTCTGAAATTCCTTGTTCCGGAAACTGCAATCTTCGCGACAAAAACAAACTTTCGCGGACCCCATCGCGGAACTTTCGCGCGGCTGTTTTCAGAACATTCATCAAAGGAAGTTTAGAAGGAACTTCCGTGTTACGGCAACTAATTGAAAGCTAGCTCTCTGAGACAAATGACAAGAGAAGGAAGAAGCCCGCGAGAAAAAATGCGCGCGCGTGTGGCAGGGGAAGAGAAAGTCGCAAAAAGCGTGGCCCTGTGCGTGAATCGGCGTTTTCGAAGATGAGAAAGTCGCAAAAAGCGTGGCCCTGTGCGCAAATCGGCGTCTCCGGAGATGCGAAAGCTAGCCTGTCCGTGGCGTCTGGTTGGACAGTCTCGGAGCGGGCTCGGAGCGGGCTGCCGGGCCCATTGGCACGGCAACGCAGAGGTTTCGCAAGGTTTGAATTGCGTGGCAGGCGCAGCATTTTGCCAAGGTCGGGTGCAGATTACGTGGCAGGCGCAGCACTTTCGCAAGGTCAAGTTTTCCCTAGGAATGAATTGCGTGGCAGGCGCAGCACTTTCGAATTTCGAATGGTCAGGTACAGATTTTGTGGCAGGCGCATCACTTTCCAAAGGTCAGGTACAGATTTCGTGGCAGGCACAGCACTTTCACAAGGTCAAGTAAAGATTTCGTGGCAGGCACCGCGCTTTCGCAAGTTTAGGTACAGATAGATAGATAGATAGATAGATAGATAGATTAGATAGAAAGTAGATAGTTAGAGAGATCGGTGGATAGATAGCTGGATAGAGAGATAGAGAGAGAGAGAGAGATAGATAGAAAAATAGACAGATAGATAGGTAGAGAGATAAATAGATACACGAGAGATAAATGGAGAGAGAGCGAGAGAGAGAGAGAGAGAGAGAGAGAGAGAGAGAGAGAGAGAGAGACAGAGAGAGAGAGAGAGAGAGAGAGAGAGATGGATCGAGAAAAAATGCGCGTGCGTGTGGCAGGGGAAGAGAAAGTCGTAAAAAGCGTGGCCCTGTGCGTGAATCGGCGTTTTCGAAGATAAGAAAGTCGCAAAAAGCGTGGCCCTGTGCGTGAATTGATGTCTCCGGAGTTGCGAAAGCTAGCCTGTTCGCGGCGTCTGGTCGCGGAGCATGCTCGGAGCATGCTCCGATCACGTTCGGCGCCGGGCCCATTGGCACGGCAACACAGAGGTTTCGCAAGGTTTGAGTTGCGTGGCAGGCGCAGCATTTTGGCAAGGTCGGGCGCAGATGTCGTGGCAGGCGCAGCACTTTCGCAAGGTCAAGTTTTCCCAATAGCTAGGTTTGAATTGCGTAGGAGGCGCAGCACTTTCGAAAAGTCAGGTACAGATTTCGTGGCAGGCACAGCACTTTCGCAAGGTCAAGTACAGAATTCGTGGCACTTTCGCAAGGTCAATTGCAGAATTCGTGGCAGGCGCAGCACTTTCGCAAGGTCAAGTGCAGAATTCGTGGCAGGCGCAGCACTTTCGCAAGGTCAAGTAAAGATTTCGTAGCACGCGGAGCACTTTCGCGAAGTTAACTTTCGCAGCCGGGGCTCGAAAATCGCAACTTTTCATTACTTCAAGTAGTACGTGAAGTCCACTTTCGCAGCTGGGGCTTGAAAATCGCAACTTTTAAGTACGAAAGTAGTACGCGAAGTCGAAAATCGCAACTTTTAAGTACGTACGTAGTACGCGAAGTCCACTTGCGAAATTTGCAACTTTTAAGTACGAAAGTAGTACGCGAAGTCAACTTTCGCAGCTGGGTCTTCAAAATCGCAACTTTTAAGTACGGAAGTAGTACGTGAAGTCCATTTCCGCAGCTGCTGGAAAATCACGACTTTTAAGTACGAAAGTAGTACGTGAAGTCCAATCGCAACTTTTAAGTACAAAAGTAGTACGCGGAGTCAACTTTCGGGGCTTGAATTGCAACTTTTAAGTGCAGATATAGATGGATAGATAGATACATTGATAGACAGATAGAGAGATAGCTAAAGAGATAGATAGAAGGAGACAGATAGAGGGATACAGAGATAGATAGATAGAAAGAAAGAGAGATAGAGAGATAAGTAGAAAAAAAAGAGAGATAGGGAGATAGATAGATAGATAAAGAAGATAGATAGAGAGAGAGATAGAGATTGATAAGCAGATAGATAGCTAACATGAGAGATAGATAGATAGGTAGTTCGGTAGATAGATAGGTAGAGAAAGAAAGATAGATAAATAGATAGACAGATAGATAGACAGAGAAGAAACAAAAGAAAGAACAGCACAAAAAGAAGCAAACGAAAGAAAGAAAGAAAAGACAGATAGAAAGAAGGAAAGAAGAGAGGAAGGAAGGAAAGAAAGGAAGAAAGGAAGAATGACCGAGAAAAAAGAAACAGTAAAAAGGAATAAGAGAAAAAGAGTCAAGAAAAAGAGAACTATAGTTTTATATTTTTGACACTTCGGCCCACCGGCTTCGCCGGCTCTACTGGTAACAAAAGTCATACACGAAGTACACTTTTGCAGCCCCAGCTGGAAAGTCGCAGCTTTTCAAAACGAACGTAGTACAAAAAATAAACTTCCGCAGTCCAGCTTCAAAGTCGCAACTATTCAGTACGAAAGTAGTACACGAACTTGACTTCAGCAGCTCCGGCTTCAAAGTCAGTTCAAAGTTGCACGCGAAGCGCTCTTCCGAAGCTCCAGCTCACAAGCCGTGCGGCAGCACACGAGAGAGGACCCGTTGGCCTCACGTCACTGCGCAAAAAAAACACAGCTTTTGACGGGAAGCGTGCTCTCGCACCTCCAGCTCGGAAGTCGCACCTTTAAAATGTAAAAGCAACGCGGGAATTGCGCTTCCCATCTCCGGCTCCAAAATAGCAAGAGTAGCATGCGAAGTACGCATTCCGCGCAGGTAAGGCCACCAACCTTCTTGCGCAGCCAGACTGCGCACAGATAGGGACCAGAGAGTTGACAAGAGAAACTGGCATGAAAGATTGGGCAACAGAGGCTGCAGAGCATCAGAACAACATCATGCACAGCGCCGCACAACATCACGCACAGCTTCACCCACACAGCATCACGCACAAGAGAAGTTGACACCCGAAATTGTGAAGCTGCTAAGCTCGCTCCTCAGAACTTGCAGAAGCTTTGCTGAGCAGAGACGTTGACGTGTTTACGTTCTGTTGCTCATTTAACGTGTTTAAATGCTTCGGGGCCACCCGTTGTCAAGTTAAGTATTTCGGGTCTCGTTTTTAGAATTTTGCAAGGCGAACGAATGGGAAGTCATTGCACGCTCCCACCCGCCCGCCTTGTGGCAGAAGCCGATGGGTCCGCAAACGTCCTTTTCTGAGTCGTAAGTGCACCTGAAGGCGCATAAGGAGGGGCTGTTCAGGCAGGAGCTCTGGCCGAGCATGGCGTCCACCGCAGTCATCAGCTCCACATTGGGCTTTCTGAGTGCCTGGTCAGACGGACCATTGTATTTCCATGGAGACAGGTGGCTTGACCTTTCTTGGGGGCTGTTTGAAAATTGTTGGTCCAAAACAAAGATCGAGGGACCCCGCCTTGTCCGCTTGGCCATCCATCTTGATTGCCAGAACATCAGGCGCAGGCGTAGCATGCAAGTTAACCTCGGATTCCGAGATGGTTTTTACCTTGCCGCCATCGAAGTAGTACGCCTTGGCGTCTGCCTTGTTGCTCTTGTAGACCTTGAGCCCTGCTTGGCGGGCCACGTAAAGAACCCTACTCAGCTCAGTGGTCACGCCAATGACGGGATTCTTCTCGGTGCGGAGGAACAAGGCCTTCTTCTTGTTGTAGACGCTGGAGCCGTACGTGGAGGTCTTCGAGTCCCAAGCCTGCCACTGTTGGCGCCAGAACCGGCGAGCCAAATCAATGCCGCGCAGAAGGGCCCGAATAAAACCATGAAAAACATAAGTTTTGGCAACTACGGCGACTATGGGCTGGAAGGCCGAAACACACAGCTTGTCCAGCTTATCCTTAGAGTAAAATTTCAAAAAGCGTTGGCAAAAACCAGTTACAAGGAGTCCAAGACTACAACCCCGTGCCTTTCTCACTGTGCTTTTTCTACCGGCAGAGTGCCTTTGTCGGTTCCATGGACAAGTCAACAATACAGTCGAGGTTGAAGGCATCGGAGGTAGTGGGTCATTCCTACGTACTGGACTGGTTTAAAGAACTCTTACGGTAGTTTTAGCACGAGCCGAGCCGGGCCGGGCCGGCCGGCTCTGGACGCAGCATTATGAACCAGTTGCCCTATTTTGAAATCCAGGCGCTTGTTCGTGGGCGCCGCGTGGGGCGCCAGAGTGCAAGAGAGTCACAGGGCAGGGCCATGCAAAGCTGCGCATCCATCGCTGGCAGTTGCACTCGTGCTGCGTTGAGTGCATATATTATGGGGTTCTTAAGGGATGGGGGTGTAAGGGGAGGGGGTGGTTGGAACCCCCTAAATAAGTAGAAGCTTCCCTAGCGCTGCCTAGAGCTTCTTGGCCAACCCTAGCACTCCTTCCCCAAAAACCCCCTAAAAATATAGGCCCCATCAAGCTCCTGCGCTTCCGCTTTGATTGTGGCTAGGTTGGTTGGGATAAACAACCCAGAATTCAGCGGGAATGCAGTTTGAAAGGGGAGGGGAGGGAAGCTTGGGGAAACTCTGAAAATTTATTGGGGTTAGGGAAGCTTAGGGAGCCTTAGGGAAGCTTGGGGAGTCTTAGGGAAGCTTAGGGAGCCTTGAAAAAGGTTGGGGAAGCCTAGAGACAAGTAAGTTATTCAAACCATAGTGGCTAGAACAGGCCAAAAACAGTAGTTGGCCCAACTTTGCCTGGTAGCCAACAATTCCGACCACCGACATGCCGTTGATCTCCTGGTTCAATACCACAGTGTCCGGCAGCAGGCGATAGGGCTTGTCCAGGCCGGTCACTTCCACGTACTGCGCCACGTCTCCAGCAGCCCCATCTTTGTAAGCAAACTTCACCTCGGACTGAAGCCAAGTGAGCGATGAAAACCACGCGGTGTCGTCGCCTTTAGTCCACATGGTGTCGATGGAGAAGGAGCCAGCTGCCCTCACTGCAGCATTGCGCTCCTCCTGCTCCGTCTTCGCATCTGCAGAAAGCGCAGACAGAGATGCCAGCTCTCCTGCGAGATAGCTGTCGCGTGCCGCAGACACATCCCGGACTGCGAGGAGGAAAATAAAGGCCATTGCCAAGTTCTGTCGCGTCACGATGCGCGCCATCACGAGGTAGGTTTGGTAAAATCACCAAGCAACAACTTTTGAGCTTACAAGCTTCAGCCATCGCAGTGCTATAAAGGAGTGTCCGCAATATTGTGTGCGCAGCGTTGTTGGAAGATGGCCCTACAGCGGAAGCTTGGCTAGGTTGTAGGGCCTACGGAAGGGCCTATGGAACCCCAGCTCGTGGAGCTTTGCTGTCAATCGGAAGCCGAAGCACGTTTCGGGGTCCCGATTCAACCTAAATTTACGGGTGCGGATTTATGGCGATTCTTCGTAACATCGGTCGATTGCAGCTGATTGCTTTGTGCTTTGTGGGCCCAGACTTGCCTTGCGCAAGCTCCAATGGGGGAGGCGCCGATTTTCAGGGGACTAGTTTTGGGCCCCCAAGAGAGGCTCAAGTGAAACCCCTGCGCTTTCCAAGGTTTATGGCGTTGCAACCCCGGGTTGTCCACGCTGAGTCAACTAGCTGTTGTACAAAGCAATGCCATATTGTTTGTTCCTTTTTTCGGTACCTTGTTTCCATTTAAGGGGAAGCCAAAGGAACCACAGCCCATTTCGGGAGCAAGACATCCCATTTGGAGACCTAAAACGTGAAAAAGGGAGTCATTTCAAACATGGCTTGGCAAAAATAGTAGCACATAGCAGCACCATCGTCCGAATGATGACTAAACCAACATGGGGTACTTGCGCCATCCAAGGTGCCATTTTGCTTTGACTAAGGGAAGCTTAAACCCAGGGGTCGTGATTTTTCCCCCAACAGGATTGGGTTCAACTCTACCTTGCAGTGAAACAAAATTGAACCCTGGTGCCATCTACTTGTAGCACCACCCTTCTAGTCTGGCTTCGAGTCAAGTTTTTTTTGCGCCGAGACACCGATGCGCACGGGCAAGCAAATGGCCAGGACAACGGAGAAGTAGCTGGCATCAGCCACCTCCTGTTAAGTCACTTTGATATGCGGGTGTGAGTGCCGACCCCCCAACAAAAAGAGTCTTCTTTGGGTTTCCTTGTATGCCAACCCGAAAAAAGCGAACCTCAAACAAGGCAGGTTCCCCCAACTTTGACGCTACCAACATGGTCACCCACACGGCTACGATGCTTCGCATAGGCCTTGCTTTTTAAGCCCTATTAAATCAAGGAGCAGGGATCTACTAAAGTGGCCAACGGGGGCTTTCGACGCACCACACCGGCCATGCTGCCCAAAGATTTGTTCAATTTGGATTTGCCTCAGAATGTGGTGGTTCACCAAACACGAGCATTCTCCTTTTTGCGGCGTTTGAACATGTGTAAAGAGGGGGAAGCTTCAAAACAAGACTTGCTCTTCCGAATGACCAGTCTCGTTCGCTAGATATGGCATTCAAGACAAACAAACATATATGCGTGTTTTGTTGAGGGTACCCCGTTTTGGGTGGCTAGAAAGGGAAACCAGGTGTAAACCACACATTGTTTGCGCCGACCCTATTTTGGCGCTGACCCATATCCGACAAAAGGGCTTCTGTTTGTGTTCGACACTTTGCTGCTCATGACCATGTCCGTTTCCAAAGCCCACCATATAACAAATATCCATCCCCTTTTGTGAACCTCTTGAAAAATAAATTTTGGTTGCTATCTCGAGTGGATTGGCCAACAAAAAACAACTTTTATAGCTGACCGACCTTCCAAAAGTCGAGCAAAGCCAACAAACTTGGGAAGTGAGGCTATTGATCGCGTCAAGATCTGGAACACCCAAAATGTCTACGACAGCAAATGACAGTTGCTTCAAGTCGAGTGCAGTCCAATGGGGCACTGTATGAGAAGGGGACATCTTCTGTTTTGGAAGGATAGCCTTGACAAGTCAAAGTTGAAAACTTCCGCAGCATCCCAAAACTGTTCTCCGCTTTGTGTGGCCAGGCCATGGTTGTTGGTTGCAGCTTTTGCTGTGAACTTGGCCAGGCGGAGTTCAAAGCTTGAAGCAATCTTTGCCTTTTGTGAGGAATCCGCTATGGGTCAGGAGCCACTGCTTCTTTGCTTGACATGGGCTTTGGTTTTCATGCCACGTCCGCAAATAAATGAAAATTAACAATCACACACGGAAACAGCCAAACGCGAATGATACCACACAACGCAAATTGCCAGCGCCAACGACAAACCAAAGCAAATGCAAACAATCGCAAATAAATAGACAAATAGACACAAAGAAACACGGAGAAAGACAAGCATACGCAAACGGACAAGCAAAGACAAACAGCCCCCGTGGTCACGAACTCCGACAGCTCCACGTCTCGCAGCTGACTGGTACGAACAATGCCTCCCCTCATGAGCTTCTCGCAAATTCCATTGATGAAATTGGCCGTCAGAGCGCCCGGGCGCGTGGCCGCGAAGATGAGCAAATCGCTCCTCTTCTTGAAGCGACGTGCGTCCACCTTCCCCATGGCAACCGCATCCACCCTCCGCGACTTCGCCTTCTGTTTCCATCGGGTGTAGCTGCTGCTTGAAGACCTCCCCGAAGAGGATCTCGACGAGCTCCCAAACAGTATTCCACCCGACCCGGACCGGTTTCAGTCATTGAAGATCCACCCAAAAAGACACCCTCTTCCCAAGTAACATGGCCCATGAAAGTGACACCCTCAAAACCACAGGTGGCTTCAATGAAAGCTCCCAAAAAATTCATTCCAATCCTCACCAGGCATGCTCCGAAGACCTTGAAAGGATAGAAACTTGGTCTTGATAAACTCGAATCAAAGCAAAGCAGTCTTCTGCAGTGCCATTGTTTTGGTTCTTCTCATCTGATAGCTGGAAGCAACCCTACCCCATTCCAGCACGAACCAAAGGACAAAGCAGAGCAAGTTCACGGGAGTTCACTGTTGGGTGCGGTATCCTTAAACCCACCAGTTAGAGGGTAATTTTGAGGATGTCGCTTTAATTGTCCTATAAATGCGCCATGGTCAAAAGACATCTTGCCCTTGAGGTTGTTAGTCTTGGTCATTTCTTCCTTAATTGCGACCCATGACCATCGCCTACAGAAGCCACGGGCTCAAGGACCAAATCTTCGGGGTTCGATCGCCGAATGGAGCGTGCTCACAGTGGTTGGTGGAGGTCTGCGCAGGAGGCGAAACCCGGCATTGCAGGGGTGGTTGGTGTTGGACCCCTACCTGCTGGGCAAGGTTGTGCCGCAGGGCAACTATGCCTGGCGCAGCCTGTCGTGTGTTCGCTTCAGCAAGTGGGACATTGGGAGAGCGGAGTAATGTCTGGCGCCTCCAAATTGCCAGCAATCTTTGAAGGGAGGCTTGCTACGGGGCCCCTCTTTGTCCTTTCGTGAATCCGAGCGTGGAGATGGACATTGCGCACAGGTTTGTTCTAGCAACGAACTGGCGGGCGCCGAGCAAGCTTTCTATGGCTGCAATGGTCAAAGGAGATTGCTGTGTGAGCCGTGGCTTGAGTCAGGGGTCAACGCCTCTCGGCTGTGCGTGTACAGAAGCCAGTGCTGGGGCGTTGACTGCACAGTTCTGTCTGGAGCTCTTGCAGGCTCTTGGAGGTGTTTGGTTGGGCTGCGCCATATGAAGGGCGCATCTGAGCGACTCCGATATGTAGTTATGGTCCCTTTCCCGGCCGGTTCCGCCCAAGTGGGTCCCCGAGCGATCAAACTAAATGCAGCGAGAACAACAACAGGAGACAAAGGAGTTGTGATCAAGAAACTCCAGGTGCCCATTTCACATCTCACCAGAAGCTTTCAAGCCAGGAATGTCCCTTTGGAACTGCAGGGGTCTTTGGATGTCTCTTAATGTCGTAACATACTGCTGGGTTCCAAGAAACAAACTGCCACTTCCGGAGGTCCGTCGAAGGGGAAATTGAAGAAACCCCTGAACCCGGATTCTTTACATATTTTCCATTTGCTTAAGCCCCCTAGGAAAATATGTCCAGTAGTGATACATTCCCTTTAAAAACCAATAGGGGAAATAAAGAATAGTCTGGACCAGATATGTTTGTATAAACCCGCATTGGTTTTTGCATAAAGCCCGATCTTCGCAAGTCCTCGGGCGTCTTGTGGATCAGTCGCAGGACAGGGCCCGTCAGCAGCCAACACGCCGCCACCGGCCTCGAATTGCCGGCCACCGGCAAAGGTGTTCGGTGGCTTTCCTTTTCAAAGCAAACTTCCATTTGGTTAAGGCCCCAGGAAAAATAGCATACTTCCAGCAGTGATGTATTCCTTTAAACCAAACAAGGGAAAATAACAAAAAACCTTAAGCAAATGGAGGCAAAGGTAGGTTCAGTCCAAGATGTGAGGTGAAGTGGTGGACCGGTCCAATGGACATGGAGGAAGTGAGGCGAAATGCTCGAGGAAAATGGTCCAGAAGACTTGCCGGTGAAATCCATGTGGATGGGTGGAAACCCCAGAAAGGGCGGGTTTTCTTGAGACCAAGTCTGAGCGGTAGCTGAGCATGGCTAAACGATGCCCGTAGCCGATAGTTGCACCTTCCCCAATCCTTCTCTTCAGGAACCACTCATTTTCCCGTTTTGGGCAATCTGAGAAGGATCCCTGAATCACATCCTGCACACCTCGACGTTGTATCTCCGTTAAAAAAAAGAGGCCAGCTGCACAGGAGGCGCTACTGCGGCAAACGTCCCAAGTTTTCGCGTAGCTTGAAAAACCGAAAGGTGGTCCAACGCTTGACCCTTGCGTTTGCTTCAGAAGATGTGTCTTTCCGGCTTGATTTTGTAGGGAAGTGCTAACGACATTCAAATCTGGTCTTTGTACGTGATGCCAAGAAAGCATGCGGCAACCGTCATGGGGAGGTTGACCAAGTGACAGTTTCAGGGGACTTGGCGGGCCCCTCAAATGACACAAAGTCAGCATTGCCTGCGTGGTGAAAAAGAGATCCGGGTTGTGAATCGAGGTTTCTCTTATAGATTATTATTCGGGTTTCGCTTGAAAAAAAAACAGAATAAGGGGGTGCCCCTCAAACATATACATGCAAACACAAACACGAACACAAACACAAACACAGAGACACAGACACAGACACAGGCCCAGGCACTGGCAGAGGCACAGGCACAAACACAGACGCAGACGCAGACACAAACACAGGCACACAGACACAGACACAGACACAGACACAGACACAGACACGCACACACACACACACACACACACACACACACACACACACACACACACACACACACACACACACAGCACAAACACAAACACAAACACCAACACCAACACCAACACCAACACCAACACCAACGCAAACCCAAAGACCCAACAACAGACAAACCCACAAACACGCACACACACAAACACCCACACCACACGCACAAACAACCACACACACACACAAACACGCACGCACAACCACACACAACCCACCACACACATAGACACAGACACGGACACAGACACAGACACAGAAACAGACACAGACACAGACACAGACAAACACAAAGACACGAGGACACGTCCACACGCGCACACGCACACGCACTCGCGTCCGCACACGCGCACTCGCCCGCACTCGCACACGCGCGCGCAGACACAAACATGAACGCAAACACCAACACGAACATGAACACGATCGCACACACACACAAACACACATAAGAACATACAACCATACATATGCAGAAACACACACAAACACGCAAACACACACAAATTCACACACCCAAAAACCCACAAACACACAAACACGGAAACGCGCGCACGCAAAAACAAACAAACACACAGAAACACAAGATCGCAAGCCCGCACACCTACAAACACACGAGCAAAAAACACACTCAAACACACAAGCACATCTTGCAACACGCAGAAACACAATAACACAGCAACACAGCAACACACACACACAAACACACGGACGTCCCTGTGACGAGGCAAAGTTTTTGAGACGTCGAGCGGCACCATGATGCAAAGGAGCACCACTATAGCCACCTGCCAACGAATCGACTTTCAGCAGTTCAAGCGCCTGAACTTCCCCCCCCTCAACATGGAAATGGAGGGTCCCAAGTGGGCCCTGAACATGAACCTCGTAGATTCCAGGTAGAAGACCACATATGCATGTAAGCAGTGTTAGCCTAGCAGTGTTTGGTTGAAACACATAAGTGCAAGTACGACACTACAGCAAGGAGGCGGGAGCCTTTTCACGGAGCGGTCGCAAGCGTGCGCTTGGATCCACGTCTCAAGGATGCTTCAAGGATAGGTCTCTTGGATGCAGCACACTCTGATGAGATCTTGATGTATTCCACTCAAGTTGGGTCGCCGACTTCTGTTGATATGCGATTTGTGCATGCGGAATTCGCGTCTCCTCAGCTCAAGAGTCTTGTCATGTAGGTGAACGGGTGTTGTACGAGGATGTAGCGCTCATAGTGGTATATGCCCGCTGCCAGTCAGGATCTGTGTGCGAAGGATCTGTTGCGCTCTTGCTTCCGAGGTGATCTCGTCCTGGATATCACAAGGGTGTTGGCGCGGTGGAAACTCTGGGCGCATGTGATACCGGGAATCTTGGCAGGTAAACCCGCTGACAAGGACGTCTTCGTATCTTCGGACTCAAAGCAACCATACCAAACTTTGAAGTATGCTCCAGACAGAATCCATGTCAGGACGTATCTGTACACAGGCTACTCTGCCAATTTCATCGCCCTTCACCATCCGTGCACGGCGCGTCGTCCAGAACCCCATCAGCTTCCTGCTTGGAACATGAGCTGGGTTGCTTTGGATAATCAAAGGGATGAATCCTGCTTCTCTCAAGGTTGCCAAGCAATGGTAGGACGTTGAGGCGAGAGGCGGATGTTTGGGTTCTGATAGGTCGTCATCCTTCCTGACCTTCTTCATGCTCGAGGGTATTGGTATTGGTATTTGTTTTGCTCGTTTGAGGCGAGTCGCAGCTGTTGAGTTGCTTCAGGCCAAGTGGAACCTTGGTTAGATATCCACACTCGCAGAAATCGTCCCATGTTTGATTGTTGGTGTCCTTCTACTCGTAGCTCTGACTCTCTCCGACTTGATGAGGAACTTGATGCCAAGATTGGATATGCCCTCAAATAATAAAGTGAATGGGGATAATGGCGCTGCTTGTTGACCTTGCATCTGTTCATGAATGTTACGGCTTCCTTGTAGAGCTCGCTGGCCACCTGGTCCAGTTTATGGTGTTTATGGTCATGTCATTGGTGGTAGCGGCTTAGCTCCTCTTCGATCTCAAGCGTCGGCTTTTCCCTATCTTTGCCGCCCTTGGCGGAATCTTTTCTTTTGTCCTTGGGCTTTTGCCACCCTGCAGCTCCATGGTTCTAGTTCTGACTTGTCTTTCTCCCCAATGGGATTGATCGGTGGTGGAACCATCGGCCATGTTGACCTGCCTTGCCGCCTGACGTCGTTTTCTGCAGCTCTTCAGCGCTCGCCCTTACCTTTTCTACCTTTTTGCCACTTGCCGGACTTCAGAGCCCGACGCTGAAATCGTCTTAATGGGCAGATCGCGGTATATGCGAGCGTCGTCTGTGAGCCGGTTTTTATTTAGGAGAGGTCCTTGTCTATGCGGCTCAATAACTATGAGGGTGATCCGATGGAGGCAACACAGCGTTCATCGACAAGTTGAAGGTCTTTTTGCGTGAAGCTGTTCCACCGTTTTGACGGCTTCCAAGAATAGCCGTGGCGGAATCTTTTCCATAGGGGTCCTCTTCACTTGACATCCTGCTTTCGGAAAACTAGGCTCCGCTACGCCAATATTGAGCTTGAAATAAGGGGTCCCAAGTCGGCACCGAGTAGGTCCCAAATATGGATCTAGTCGCAAGGAGGTGAGCCTTTTCACTCTAGCTTATGATATTACCAGGCCTTGAGCCAAACGGCAATGGATAATCGCACATGAGTTGATCTGAGCAATCGGCACAGAACAAACTTCCGATGAAAATTCGGGCTTCCATCCGGCGGGTGGGAATGAGGGGTTGGGGAACTGGCCCCATTCTGTCATCAAAGCCACCCCTTTGATAGATTAGTCATGGGGCAGGGTTGATCTGGAGTGGGGGAAGCAAATGGACATCTTCTGTCAAGCTCTCTGCGTGCGAATGGCTTCCAAGCGCCTGAACTCAAGTCCGTGGCAAAACTAAATGGACATGTCCTCCCTATGTCATGGAAAACCCATATACTTGGTGGTAAATCTTGCATTCATTGGCGTTGCCCTTCCCTGATCCGTTGTTTGTTTCAACAACGCCTGCACCTATTGGAACACGAGCCGCTGTGACTTCTTATCCGTTTCCAAGGAGTAAGCATCAAGTACCAGAGTATGCCTGGAGCAAGCAAGGCCGGGAAGTTGATGCTAGTTTTGATGCGCTGAGCATGGTGCATCAATGCGCTTTGCATTGGCAGGTCAAAAGGATACGTCATCAACCTGGTGGTTGCTGATACGGGGGTCAAATGCTCACATGTTGGATGCAATGGCCACGGATGTGGCGCGCAAGGCATATCCTTGAACGTGCCGCTTCAACACAAAACGTGTTTAGTATCGATAATAGTTTTCTGGGGGGGCCGCTTGCGGTGAATCTCAGGCAGACCAGCAGAAAACTCACCGCTTTGGGGGAGTTCAACCCAATGTTGAATTTGCGCGCCCTTCTTTTGGTGGGTTTTGAAGGGGGGCCATAAGGAGACTGCCCCGGAATGAAGGGGGTCCCATTGTAACTTTAAGACGAGTTTGGAACATCCACAACCTCCGGCAATTCCTCAACTGCGTAGGGAAGGCTCTCGAATTCCCTGTATCTAGGCCTTTTTTCAAAGGGAAATGTGTGCGTGTGTCTCTTTTTTGGGCCAAGGGAAACCCAAGGAAAACGACCATTTTGGTTGAGGAGTCCCCGACAAAGAAACACACTCTAAATGGAACCAGGACTGAACACCTTCAGGCATGCCTGTGCCCCAATTCGGGGGGATGTGCAGCAAAGCACCATAAACCTCGGAGCAACCTCGTGCTGCGAAATTCCAGCCTGTAGCCAAATGCCCACGAGCCTGGCAAGCAGCCCCAAAAGGATCCAGTCCAGGGTTGCCCGAACAAAAAACAAGTATAGTATGGAAGCCTTTCAGGGACCCCCTGACGACCATTCTCATGAACTGTGTTTCAGGTTCCATGTCTGTATTTAGGAAAGAAAAGGGTCAAAAGCATCAAAAGCTTAATGGTAAACAGTCAAAACGTTACAACAAAAAACGACAAAAAGGGTGATGCTAAACGCCGCAAAGAGCATATTTTGAGTCGGGCTCAACTGCAACTTCCTTTGTTTTCTTTGGACACTCGTCCATTTCCTTGAGCTGGACCAGTGCGTTCTCATTCAGTGAAATGTGCAAATTGTACACCACGCCCAAGCAAAATACCACGCCAACGCGCAATAAGAAAAGCACAAGCCGCCAACAACTGCAAACACGTCCGGCGAACTACTCGTGTCATGGCTCAAGGCTTCAGTTGTTGTAAGACTCGCTGCCAAAATAGTTGGCGAAGTAGCACGTATCGTAGGCTGTTGCAAACTGAAACCTGACCTGCTTGCGTGTACTCAGCTTTCACCACTTTGACTTGCTTGCCTCACATAGTTCTGAAGATCAGGAAGCATTGACTTTGACAGAACCCCCAAGACAGATAAGGAAACGGTCGCGGCTAAGCCAAATCCGTGGCCCCGGCATCTTGTTCCCAGAGCCATAGGCTTGGCCACAGAAGGTGGATACCTCGCGAGGCCATTTGAATTATGCTCGTTTGGCCGTGGAACCTCCCCTCCCCACTAACATACGTGCGAAAATCGTGGTGCACCTACCCCAAAATGTGTTGGTTTTGACCCTTGCCCAAATGAAAAGCAAATGCTACCCTTTCCAGCACCCTTTTGGACTGCTCGGATTTTGCACATGGGAAGCAGTTCTTGGGGGGTGCTGGTTTGGGATGGATATGGGCTGGAAAACCGCAAAGGTATAAAAGTCGGCTTTGGCAATCCGGGTTCAAATTCACGATTCCCTTGGCCACCTTTTTTTCAACCGTAGGATACGGTCAAACAAAATATTCAAGTCAACCAATGGGTCCTTGGGAAGTCGAATAAATGGGAAGAAGAAGCCAACCGTTTGCGAACAAATGGTAAGTCAACGAAAACTGTGCCGTGTCGGCAACCTGTGCAAGGGATGTTGGAGGCCGAGGCATCCCATGTGTCGGTTGCCACAGGTGGTTTTTATCCAGTGTCGCCAAGCAGAAGCAACCAATGATTTGCCGGTGTTTTAGTTGACATTGGTACTCATGTGTAGAAGTACGACGAACGTCCCCGTTGCAATGCCCAAATCCGCTTTCAACAGACGGCGTGTTGGACATAAAAAATGCTCCTTACCTGTTTACCTGTCACCCCTCCCCTAACCCCTCCCCACTGGCACCATTTCAGACTATTGCGGGGGGGGGGGGGGTCCACGTACCACGCGGTGATTAGAAGACGCTTCACTGGGCTTGCGCAACACAGTTTGTCAAAAACATTGGGGTGTTCGATTCCCCCCCGGGTGCGCTTTCGCATCCTTAGCAGCTCCAGCGGCACATCGCCAGCATCACCTGCATCATCCGCATCAGCGCCTGCCAAGGATGCGAATGATGCAAGTGTTGCTGGGGATGTTGCCCATGCTGGTGAAGGAAATGAAGGTGGGAAAGGGGGGAAAGGATCTCAACAGCGAAAGGGGGGGAAAGATCTCAGGGAGGAAAGGGAGAAGATCTAGGCAAAAAATGCCTTAAGGGGGAAAGGGGGGAAAAGATCTTTGGGAGGAAAAGGGAAATCTTTCTCGGGGGGAACAGGCCCTAAGGGGCAATGGGGGGATTAGGGGGGAAACGGGGGAAATGATCTTAAGCGGGAAAGGGGGGAAAAGATCTTAGGGAGGAAAAGGGAAAAGGCCTTAGGGGGGGACAGGGGGGAAAGGATCTC